AGGAGGGCACCTGCTAGGAGGGCACCTGTTAGGAGAACATCTGTTAGGAGGGCACCTGCTAGGAGAACATCTGTTAGGAGGGCACCTGCTAGGAGAGCACCTGCTAGGAGGGCACCTGCTAGGAGAACATCTCCTAGAGCTCAGTCGAAACGTCCTCAGCCTCTAAGCCAAAGATCTAAGGTTGGCCCAGTGTGACTGAAGTGGCGTTTCAGCCGTCATGCAGTTGGAAGCACAGTGTGAAGACAACATCTTTCACGGCTCGTCTAAGCTCCGCCCCCTTTCTGTCCTATCCAGGTGTGTGCGTTCTGCCAACATCTGGGCGCGACCCTCTGTTGCCAGGAGAAGGGATGTGGGTGGAGTTACCACTTCCCCTGTGCTCTGGTGGCGGGCGCTCATCTGGAGTGGAACCGCAGGCGAACGCTGTGCACCAGACACGCCCACTCAGGTACAGGTGGTTCTCCTTCAGGCTGACCCGGTCCCCGTTTCCATGGAAACATTAACCCTCTGTTATTTCAGCCTCACTGCAGTGCCTGCTGTGTTCATCTGAATCTGAACCCGGTGGGCTGATGATGTGCTGTTGCTGTGGTAACCGTTACCATGGCAGCTGCCTGGAGCCAGCGCTGACCCCCTCCCCCCTGAACCGCGCTGGGTGGCAGTGTCATCAGTGCAGAGCATGTCAGAGCTGCAGGTACCGTCAGGACGCCCGCTGACCCTGAAACCAACCTTCTGTCTGTCCTCCTGTCCATCCTCCTCCTTTCCGTCCCTCCTGTCTGTCCCTCCTCTGTCCCTCCTGTCCGTCTCTCCTCCTGTCCGTCCTCTTCCTGTCTGTTGTAGTTGTTTTTATATTTAATGATGGGGGGGTATTTTCTGTTGCATCATTTTTTATTTTTCTAAAGCTCTGGATGGACTGACTGCTGCTCATTCAGCTCATTTCCTTCCCTGGTTGATTGATGAAGTGCAGAACAGGTGGTTCTTTTTCCACTGCACTATGTTTGAGGAGGTACCAACACCTGATGGCCTCCATCAGCAGCTGAGGAGGTACCAACACCTGATGGCCTCCATCAGCAGCTGAGGGAGCTTCCTTTCCACGTCCTTATTAAATCAGACCTGCTTTGGTCTCCAAGCACATTCTATGGCACCTATAAAGAAGGCATGTTCCTTGGTCTCCTCCAGATGGGAGCAGCTCCTGAAGGAGTCTAGGGACCTTCTGGAGCAGGCGTTGTCTGGCCTGTCCATCCTGCAGGAGGCGTAGACCTGCTGATGTCCAACTGTGGGTGGGACACTGGGAGGTGTAGGCTGCAGCTAACTGGATACTGTTTGTCTTTCCGGCACTCCATCATTTGATCAGACTCCCCTTGATGAGGGAAGCCCTCCTTCAGCATTAAGATGGCTGCAACCCATGGTTGGTTCCATAAGCACCAATGTTGGATTTGGTCTTAGTTCTCAAAGCTCTGCGCCTTTCTCCTTTTGTTTACGTCTGGCACAGGCAGCTCCGCCCCCTGCTGGTCTGAGCCTGTTCCCATCCCACCATGTGAGTCTCTGCTTCCTGGCTACCTCTGAAGTGTCCACATGCCCTGTGGTGTCCTTCTCTGAGGACCATCCCTAGATATAACCCTAGGTCTAACCCTTACCCTAGGTCTATCCCTAACCCTAGGTCTAACTTGTGGCCGTCCCTCTTGGTCTGTGCTGGCCTTTCCTCCAGGGACATTCAGTGCTTTCATCACCTCCCTCTGACACTAAGCTGGGATTAGTAGTAGAACTATGGGGACATATTTTTGATTTTTTTTTTTTATGTGGGCCGTGAAGCTTAATGGCACTGCCTCATCCCTCAGGAAGTGGATGGAAAGAACCTGCTGTTTCATGGACAGGTGATGACCTGTCCATGAAACAGCAGGTTATTTCCATCCTCTTCCTGAGGGCTAATGGGCCGCACTGCAGCTAGCTCTGCATCTATACTGGATTGTTTAGGGCAGCTAAAACATACAGTAATTAACACTGCTCCATGATATGCACCTGATGGGGGAGGTGTAATCGATGCTGGGGTCCAACCACTTCCAGTTGCTTCCAACAAAGCGTCTGCCTCTGGGTAGATGGACTTTATGACTCATCATAATCATGGAATGAAGGAGAGAAGAAGCAGAAGCTGTGGCCGTAACAGGATGCTTAGCCTGATGAGCAGAAAGTAACCAGCTGGAAACTGTCTGTCTGTGTTTGTCTGTCAGGTTACAGGGTGATGAAGATGCGCTGCTGGTGTGTAGGCGCTGTGATAAAGCGTACCACACACACTGCCTCACACCTCCTCTGGATCACGCCCCGAGTACTCATTGGACCTGCAAGGTCAGATAAAACGGCACCAACCTGAGCTCAGGTGCGTTGGTCCTAAACTCATCAACCCTTAATTCTGTAGAATTGCAGGGTCTGTCTCCGATGTGGTGTGACGTCATCAGGACAGTGGGCCAATCATCCGTTCCTGTGCGAGACATGTGACCCTGCTTTGCCCTGTCCTCGTTGTGACCATGTTGTTGACCTCGTTTCACTACAGGAAAGTGTGACCTGCCGCAGCTGTTACAGGTAGGCTCTTCCCTGCTCTCCTGCACCAATCAGAAAATTTAGCAGGGGAACCTAGAGCAGGTCCTGGTTTCTGATCAAACCAGAATAGACCTTCATGTTAATAGTACAGCAGACACACACAGCATGAGAGAAATGAATTTCTATTTTTATTCTCCCTTGGCTGTCCATTAGATTGAGCTTTAATATCTGGTTTTCTGTGTTTCAGGTCCGAACATGCAGAGTGTTCTGATCAGACTAGAGAGGGCAAGGCATCTCCTCTTTACATCTGTTCCTCCTGCATCCCTCAGGAGGAGCAGCCCACCTCAAACAGTACCCCAGTCCTACCAAATGACACTTCCCTGTCACCAAGTCCACCTTGCACACTGGTTCCACCCACCATTCCTCCTGCTCATAGTCCAGTCCAGCTCACCTGCTCAGAATTGTCACCAACCTATTCACCATCACATCACAATCGTTCCACATCTCAGACTGAGTTATTACAAATTCAACTCAGTCCTGAACCGTCAGACGATCAAAGTTCTGCAACTGTAGAAATGCAAAGGGAGCTTGGAGACAGTAAGGAAGACCTCCAACTCAGTCCTCCACAATCTGGATCGTTCTTGAAGGACAGCCTTGCATTATATTTGCTAAAAAGAAGTAATTCGGGATCCCCTATCGAGTTGCAAAATCTATCATTATCTACCACTGAGCTCCACCAATCTCCCACATCGTCACCAGGGCAAAGTTCCACCAATGATGACCGATCTGTGATGTCATCTCTGCCTGTTGATGACTGCTTAGAGAAATCTGCAGACAACACCCATCAGCATGAGGTGACGTCTCCAGCGCAGACCCATGATAGTCATAGCCCCACTCACCAAGATACCCACATTTTTCCTACCACGCCTACGCTACAGAGTCCTTCAGCGGCCCCTGAGGCGCTTCAAAGTCCATCAGCAGCCACCGAGGCGCTTCAGAGTCCTTTAGCGGCCCCCGAGGTGCTTCAGAGTCCTTTAGCGGCCCCCGAGGTGCTTCAGAGTCCTTTAGCGGCCCCCATGGCGCTTCAGAATCCTTCAGCGGCCCCCGTGGCGCTTCAGAGTCCTTCAGCGGCCCCCGTGGCGCTTCAGAGTCCATCAGCTCCCCCCGAGGAGCTTCAGAGTCCATCAGCTCCCC